TCGTCGTATAGTCCGTGCCATGTCTAAAACTAGTAACCTAATCTACTTGCTAACCCTATGCTTAATGGGCCAGAGACTGCATTGCAGATAGTGCTTCCAGTAGTGGCGTGGAAAACACATTATTAAATTAGACATCTATATTTCTATACAAGTATTGGTGTAATCATAATGTATAATGGCTGTGTACATTACACAAGCTTACATTTAAGGAGTCTCACTATTAAGCAGAAATACTCCTAAGTTCTTTAAGGATTATTACTTCTCTGAGAATAAATTCTAGTAACCTACTTGCATTTAATCTTGGAGGTTTACGTATAAGACAGATGTGCTCACTGTGTCGTCCTTTAACAGAGAAGTATAAGATATACTTCATAGGTGAATATCCTTAATGCATGAGATACCCAAGCTATGCAGTTATAGGTTCGAGTTAGTAGGCTAGTGATATATAACTTTGTTTATACCCCTCTCTACACCCACTTTGAAACTCGACAGACTTGCCTAGACAGTTGATATGATGCTATAACCCAAGCTGACCGGAATTTGATATCTATCATTCAGGACTTCCCTGTTGGACTGGGAAGTGGTTAACCGCCTCATACATGGTATGTCTCCTCAACGCTCGAGGACAAGCCCACTAGCTCAACACGAAATTGTGGGAACGTCCCTATGTATACGGAAATGCTGTTTAGAAAAATAGATGTCAAGGAGATCACATTGAAAGTAAGCGAATACAAGTGGTAGGGTTTGTGCAGTGACTTCTCAGGCAGGCTACTTTCAGATGTAGTTCTCAGCGATATCAGTCTTCTTGGTCCTTCGAAGCGGCTCTATGAGGCAAGCAGCGTGTACAAAGACAGATTGATTATGCTATAAGATCTATGCATTCTTCTCTACAGGGGACGTCAATTTGTTCCTCATATCATTGGCTATCCCGAATTACTTACACGAAGAGCTTCCGAAGGTATCGAAAGTGGTCTGACTTAACTATTGGGCCTAGATAACTCAAGGAGGATCCTATAGGCCGATAAACTAGGAGCTAGGTAAAATAAAGCAGGTCCCTTCCCGCATGGAAAAGTGATGCGATATTTAGCCGGAGTGGTGAAATGTGGATCCATCAATGATAGGGTTGATTCACTATCTCAATACTAGCTCGAGACGGAACGCTCCGATGCAGCTTAAGGTGATAAAGTGTAGGAGCTTATTTGTTGAGAAGAAATCTTGGCCGCATTAGTCCCAATGGCGACATTTTAGGATTGTATGCACCAACCCCTCATCGGTGCCCTCTGGATGTAACGTGGTAGTTATAACTGATCATCTGCCTCAGTCCTCTTCTGCTCGCACGAATGGTTCGTTCAAACCTCATCTGACATTGTCTCAGCATACCTGAGTCTGGATACGATGGATGACAAGAACCCCTCGGCGGTCGACAAAGGTATAGAAGCAGCAGAGCCGTATAAGAGTGGAGTTGAGAAAGAGGCAAAGGATGTTACTCAAGAAACTGAGAGCACAGCATCACCGGGCTCTCAACCGGACAAAGCTGAATATGTCAAGGGACATCCCGTCATTCGAAATGGTGAGCCTTCATCTGCACAGCTGCTAGCAATTGACTAACCGCAGCAGGCGCCGACGTCTCCAGGTTCATTGTCTCTGTACGAGATGACGGTGATCCTGCATTGACATTCCGATCGATCGTGCTGGGCTCTGCGTTCACTGCGCTTTCGAGTGTCATCACGATGCTCTATACCTTCAAGCCCACGCAGATGCAAGTGTCGGCAATCTTCATGCAACGTAGGTCAATTTCCCAGCAGGCTCTGTCTACCGATTGTAATACCTGTTCTAGTTCTGGTGTATGTGGTTGGCCTGGCGTGGGCTCTGTTTACTCCGCGCCCAGATAGATTCCGTTGGAAATGGCTGCGACGCACACTTGAATTCCTGAACTTCGGACAGCCATTCGGCATTAAAGAGCATGTCGTTGCGTCTCTCATCGCTTCATCGGGTAACAATGGGCTTTCCGGAGTGGAGGTCTACGCCGTCGAGCGCCTGTTCTACAATATCAGCGTGTCGGCGACAACCGCAGTGCTGGGAACATTCTCCATCTCACTCTGTGGCTTTGTGCTTGCTGGAGTTCTCCGGCCGCTTATTGTCTACCCAGCTGAAATGGTGTACTGGTCCACGCTTCCACAGGTGGTGCTGTACCAGAATCTCCATTTCGACCAGCGTGCCAACCGGGGCCGATTGATCAAGTTTGGCTGTGCTCTAGGACTTGCTGCTGTTTGGGAGATCTTCCCTGCGTATATTATAACCTGGCTCGGGGGCTTCTCGATCTTCTGCCTGGCTTCAATGGACGCTCCCCAGCGTACCCGGAAGATCTTTTCAAGAGTGTTTGGGGGGGCGTCGTCTAATGAAGGCCTCGGTCTGTTGAACTTCGGCTTTGATTGGCAGTATATTCAGAGCAGCTATCTGTCGTTGCCATTGAAACAGCAGCTGAACAGCTGGATCGGCTATGTGATATTTTATCCTGCGATTTTGGGCCTCTACTACGGCAACACATGGAGCGCAAAGTCATTCCCATTCATGTCGACGTCTTTGTTCAACAGCAACGGCAAACAATTCTCCACCACTTCCATCCTCTCCGATAGAGGCACAGTCGACTACAACAAGCTGAAGGAAGTCGGCATCCCGTATCTCACCTCCAGCACTGTCTGGGGCTACCTCACACAAAACCTCGCCATCGGCGCCCTAATCACCCACGTCCTCATCTTCTACGGCAAGGACATGTACATTGCCTGGAAGCAGGCGCGCAGCCGAACCCAACCCGATCCACACTTCCAGGCCATGCTCAAATACAAGGAAGTCCCAATGTGGTGGTACCTCGCGCTTTTCGTCCTCGCCTTCTTCGCAGGCCTCATCGTAAACATCAAGGGCGAAACAACCCTCCCAGCATGGGGCTACATCGTCTCCCTCCTCCTCGGCGCCTTCATCGCCCCCTTCTCCTGCATCCTATACGGGCTGTACGGCACCGGTGTCGCAACCAACCAGCTCTCGAAAATGGTCGCCGGCGCAGTCCACCCCGGCCGACCCCTCGCAAACCTCTACTTCGCCAGCTGGTCCCATCAGGTCATCCTGCTTTCTGTCAATCTCGCCAACTGGCTCAAGGTAGGCCAGTACACCAAGATCCCGCACCGCATCATGTTCGCCACCCAGATCTACGGCACTTTACTAGGTGCAGGCCTCAACTACGCCGTCATGACTACCATCGTCTCCAACCAGCGCGAGATCCTCCTCGATCCAGCGGGAAACAGCGTCTGGAGCGGGTCAACCGTGCAGAGTCTCAACTCGCAGGCTATTACCTGGGCACTCGCGCGGGACGTCTACGGCGTGGATGGCCGGTATCTCATCGTGCCCTTAGGTCTGCTCATCGGTCTTGCCTTGCCGGTTGTGCACTGGGGTCTTAACAGGGTCTTTCCGCGGATGCGGTCCTGGCCGCTAAATACGGCGATAATTGCTGCATTCGCCGGTCAGACGTATTACGGCATCACGTCGTGGATTTGGTCGTCCATTGCGGTGGGCGTGTTCTCGCAGGTGTGGCTTCGGCGTCGGCTGCCGCGCATTTACAACGAGTATAACTACCTCATTGGGGCCGCGTTGGACGGGGGATCGCAGATTGTGATTTTTATTCTGTCTTTTGCGGTCTTTGGGGCCAGTGGGAAGGAACGCCCGTTTCCGACGTGGTGGGGGAATCCGGCTGGGAATCCTGATCATTGTATCTAGTTGTATTCAGTGCTCTTGTACGGGTCGATATCAGTCTACTAATGAGAGGCGAAACCATTGTAAGGTCACCTTCAACGTAGGAGGATACCAGTATTCATGATCTACCGGTTGATGAATGTCATCTGCCTTTAATATTCGGCATCCGCTTGCTGCAAGGCGCATATGAGACTGTATTTGATATTGCCAAAGTCGAACCAACGAGAATGGACTCATCAATGCGCTATGATCTACCCGCGTGACCCTCGCCTTCTGCCTTCGATATGGGTTGGATTTCCAACCAAGCTTCCATTGATGGCGTAAGACAAATCGACGCTGCTATATCATTCACTACTCGGATACAAAGCTTTAGACACTAGTGGACCTGTACAGCCGTGCATAGTGGCTATTGAGTTCAATACAACCATGGAAAAGAGTACATGACCAGTACAGCAACCCTGCTGTCCTTGGGCGCATGAATGACGACTGGATGTCTGACCATTTGCACCGTAAAACTCATTAAGCAAGACTATGAGCGGCTTTTCCGGATACCAAAGCCTTCATTTCGCGGTCATTACCGGGGGAGGAACGGTGCAAACCCCTCCAACACAGACCTCGGGACCAAAACACTAAGAGGCAGGGTTCTTAGCCAACTTGACAAGGAGCATAGCATCAGGCAATTAGTTGTCTTACAGTATTGCTGCATCTTCCACAATTCTGTCCATCACTTTGGAGGTCGGTACACGTGTTACTGCAGCAGCCCAGCAATCCAGCCGGACACTAGGGCCATCGAATCAGTCACTAGCCTGTCTAAATAGTTGGTGTTGTATCGACTTACACATGCTCCATTACAGGGGGGCGTGCCTGAAATATCGCAGAGGCAGACACCACCGACGCAATTTGCACCTGTCGGGCACTGCAGATTGAAGAATTAGCTTTTGCAGGAATTGGCATTGCTGGAGAAAGATAACAAAACTTACCTCAAGGCCGCAATTCCCACAGTTGCTATTATCACTGAGTATGTCTTTGCAGATTCCACCACAGCAAAGTTCACCAGCCTGGCACTGCGTCGAGGTTCAAGGTCAGTTGGACACTCGGAGACCACAGATACTCGTAGTACATACACATTGCCCACTGCAGGGGGCATGACCATTTACAGTGCAGACACAGGTGTTGCCAATGCACTGAGCACCTAGTGGGCACTACAGGGCCTCTCAGCTCTATTTCGTGTCTTGATACCAGACGTCAAAAGGCACTTACACATTGTCCATTGCAAGGAGCCAATCCACTGCTGGTACAGAGGCATGCATTTCCTGTACAGACTGAGCCACTGGGGCACTATGAGAAAACAGAGAATATGTTAGACATATCCAAGACAAAGAAGATTTTGTATAATCCAACTCACTATATTTCCACATTGTCCACAGTTATCATTTCCAGTAAGGGGACTACAGAGCTGATCACAACACCCTTGGCCACCCAAGCACTATAAATTGGGTCAGGCTAACGTTCAGTTTCAACAGTCTAGGATGGATGATACTTACGGCATGACCGCAGGCGCCACAATTATCAACTGTGTCTAGATTAGTACAGGCCCCATCACAGCAGCCTTGACCAATACTACGCTTTCCAAATGTCAGGATCAGAGGCTCCAGTTTCAGACATCATAGGAGAGGTCTCAACCTACGCAGCCTCCATCACAAGGAGTTGCATATATGCAGTTGCCCTGGGCACAGTTGGTGCCTGGTGGACACTATGCCATAATCAGCTTCCAGGGTTTTGATGACTTGTATGATAATCTCAGATGGCGTACCACTCTTCCACACTGCCCACAGTTATTCTCATCTCCATTTAAATCTGCGCATATCCCCCCACAGCATGTCTGGCCAGTAGTGCACTGAATGTTTAATCAAATCAGACTTATCCCGTTAGAATATCAGTGGCTAGGACATACACAAGCTCCACTGCACATTGGTTGTCCACTGGCACATTGGCACATGCGATTGATGCAGCTCGAACCAGAGGGACACTAGAAGAGTCTTGAGTCAGAATCATGCAAAACTTAGTACGAGTGTGTTATTAAAAGACTTACCATATTTCCGCATGCCCCGCAGTTGGCATTTGTATTCAGTGAAGTGCAGACACCGTTGCAACATTCCATACCAGATGAGCACTCCAAAGCGCTTCCCTTTAGCTATAGGAACCCGGGTCTATCTGAGGGTGGACGTACACATCTTGTACCGCATATTGGTCGGCCTGAAGGTACGCAAATGCAAACCCCGCCAATGAGTATCGAGTGAATAGGGCACTGTTTGAATCTTCAGTAGATGGCTTCGTAGGCAGAATGCTCCATACAATAATATCTTTATTCCTTTCAGCAGTCCCGCCGTAGCCGACATGTTCGCCCACTGCCACTGCATTTAAAGAAGACGGGCCGCTCGAGTTCTGTAAGTCGGGTGAGTATGCTATAAAAAGTCTCTGACGGTATGGGGAGACCTACATTGCTCAGTGGCTCCTTGCTGTGTCCAAGACTAATCAGACCCGCTAGGCGTCGTCAGCTTGCAATTCCCTGTAGGGCAAATTTCAGGGCATATTCCATGCTCACAAAGAACAAATGTGCAACAGATAAGAATCTTCTGCATCATGAACACAGTCTGATCAGCAGATCGCTAGGCAAGCATAGTAAGTATGAATAGCATCCACCATGCAGGTGACTGTAGACTGTTTTCGCGAGGAATAAACCCTCTTCATATGTCCATGCTGGTGTGTAATGATATATCTGTCATCAGCAAATTAATCTCCATCCAGCTCGGGTTCCTCAAACTTGGGGATTAGGCCGACACTTACTTTGTTTATGCCACACCATAATCCTAGGGGTGCGACCCGGGCCTCCTGGTTACGCAGAGGGTGATTAGAGCCTTGTCACCTAAATATGTGACTGTACACCTCGGGAACTAGACAAAGAGGCTGTGATATGTAACTGTAACCAGTGAAGCAATCTTTTGATACAGGGGCAAGAGGCAGTGGCCATTAGCAAAGCAAAACGCATGGGATGAAGAGTAAGCATAAGTAGAAATGAGTGCCGCGGTAGTAAGGGTGATATGGATCTAGGTAGGTTCTAGATAGGCTTAAACGCAAAGCACATGTCCTAGGGTGGTCAGTGTAGCCATGCTGTGGTTTGCGCGCATATATGTTACTCTAAGATTCTTTTGTGCGACACCATACATAATCAGTAAAATTAGGAATGAATGGCATTGGAGGATAAACCTTCTCGAATGATGATTAATACCCAGGAGAGTAACTTGAAGTGAATATGTGCGACCAGTCTAGTACAGAGCTATCCTATACCTCTGCAAGTGTGATGACATGCAGTCAGCTCTTATACTAGGTAATAATACAAGTTAAGATAGCTTAGCTGAAGAGCCAACAGCTGTGAATTGTTTTGGGTATCAAGTTTGCATTCAGACAATGTCTCCACAAAGTTCACAGCTGGAGTACACAGGCACTGATTCATGTAGACAATTGATGGTATCTTTAATAGTAGGAACATAACGGAATGTGTTAATCCATATGGCCCTGATCATGGAGTACAATTGCTTGGCTCAGGGACGGAGGGATCTGGTCAATTGCTTAGAGACAAGTACTCGGAGCCAAAAGTATAACCATAGCATCATTTAGCTGTCATATGATGTCTTGGGAGCTTTGACGGCTGTGTAAGTAACGCAGGTCTCTTGTCAGATGACCGACGATGTGCCGCAGACAAAGGATCTACGCGAAGACCAACTTTTTTAACAGCCATCTTGGTAAAACTGCACAAGATAACTTTAGCAGTTTCGTAAGATTGGTGTCTACTGGAAGTGGCCTGACCAAACAGCCTTTCCGAATGTGGTAGTACAGTATCCCCTCCAGGCGTGCTGAAATAATGAACCCCGCCTCTCAAATCCGTATCATTGATATCTAGAGATCAGCAGTACCTTATCTGACTACGCGCAGAATAGTTATCTAAACGGTACTGATGATGCCTCTTTTATTGTCTCCTGAGCGCCGAAGAGGTTGTGCAGACACTCGGAGTGTGCTCTGAAGGGGTGTATGACAGACTCAGACATATGTTCTAGATGGTCCCGTTCAATTCTCTGTCGAGGCAATGAAGAATGAACATTTGAGCTGTAAGATTCTACTGGCATTCAGATATATAATAATGCTCAGAACCCCAGATTAAACTAATGCTCATCATCAAGAAACAACCACCTCTCACCATGGCAAAGGCATTCGCATTTATCGTCATCTTATGTGGTAAGTTTCAAGTTACCTCCCCTGACGATTACCTCCTGCAGTTCTGATTTAAGAACCCTTTAGCAAGCCTGATTAGCATAGTATATGCTCAGGCAGCATGCAACCCGCCGGTAAGTACCGTTCCAATCTTAGTGCTGAAATTGTCAAAGACTCATCACCTAATATCAAGTGCGCCGGTGGTCTCACCTGCTGCAACGGAGTCTGTCGGCTTCTATCTGTCGAACCAGCAAATTGTGGAGCTTGTGGTCGAGCTGTGAGTAGAACTACCCTTATAATGCCAGGAAAGTCTTATACTAATATGAACTTGATCACCATAGTGTCCAACTGGCGCCATCTGCAGCAACGGTAACTGTGTCTGTATTGTTAATAATAATCAGCCAACCTGTGGCAACCGCTGTGTGAGTTATTACTTCTCTGATAATGCGTTCCGGGCCTAACAGAGCTTGTTGGGTGCTTATTAACCTGGATAATAGTGTGCTGCTGGGCAGTCCTGCTGCAATGGTGTCTGCACTGCCTTGACCACAACAACTAACTGTGGCGCATGTGGGACTACTGTGAGTTGCCTTGGATTCTATGTTGATATAAACTATCTATTAATCTCTGGTTAGTGTGCTGCTGGTCAAGGTTGTTGCAATGGCGCCTGCACTGCATTAAACACAGCCACCAATTGTGGAGCATGTGGTAGAGCTGTATGTCAAACCATCCCTCCAAGTATAGGCTCAGAACTAATCCGTTCACTCATGGCAGTGTCCTGCAGGTGCAATATGTGTTAATGGTGCTTGCCGTTGTACAGCCACTGGTCTACCACCTTGCAATGGCGTTTGTGTATGTTGATCAAGTCCCTTCAAGTACCTTTCTGAGGTCTGACATTACCTACATAGTGCACTATTGAAGATCTCGCCTGCTGCAATGGACAATGCACCAGCATCGCAGACACTGCCGAGAGCTGTGGAGCGTGTGGCAATGCTGTAAGCCATTTCTGCATTTAAAGATATTCCTGCTAGTAAAAGGCTGATGGATGTCTTTTTGAAGTGCGCCGGACCTAATGATGAATGCTGTGGTGGAACATGCACTCCTGCTGATACAACTACTAATTGCGGAACCTGTGGCAATGCTGTGGGTTGACCATAAATCCTTAGCCAAGGTATACTAGCTGATTTCCTCTAGTGCGATGCGAATGAAGAATGCTGCCTTGGTGTCTGTACTGCTGTTGACACTCCTGCTGCCTGTGGTGATTGCACCACTGTTGTAAGTTATCCCGCATCAGGACTACACCACCACCAAAACTTACAATTATAAACCCTCTACAGTGTGAAACCGATGAGGGATGCTGCGCTGGAGTCTGTACCCCTCTAACAACAATCACTGACTGTGGAGTATGTGGTAATGCGGTAAGGAATCCTTCACGACATGCCTAGGGTAGAAACTTGATTCTCATCCCTGACCCTACCTAGTGCCTTGGTGGCTCGACTTGCACTGCTGGAGATTGTGTGTGTCCTGGTACAAATCTTCCGCCATGCGGCGCGAACTGTGTAAGTGATTATACATCCTTATGACAAGACATGTCTCATATCTCTACAGTGCACTGATGGAACCCTCGCTTGCTGCGCTGACACCTGCACTAATCTTGTGACGGATCCTACTAATTGTGGAGGCTGTGGTACTGTGGTGAGTATATACATTAATACCTTCAGAGTCAAACCCCAGTGTCTGACTATCAATAACTTATCCAGTGTCCTGAAGAAACACCCAATTGTGTTGCTGGTATATGTACAGCCTAGAGTTAGCCTTCCTGAAAGAGGGACATTCAATGTCTGTTTGTTGCTGGCACGTTTCATCATAGGTCTGAGCTCAACCTTAGATCTGATCAGGGTTATGATATTGCAGTTGTTGCGAGGCATAAGCTTATGTCTAGATGTGTGGCTTGAGGTTTGGCCCGGAATTCCGATAGGAAACGCTGGGTATTTCCGGTCTAGTGGCTATTTTGTTATTCATGGGTTGTACTGCGAGGAACCGGTGATTCAACATCTCTGGCACCAAGGGAATAGTAATTCATCTATTTACCATACCTGCTTGCCTGACGTAGGGTGAACAGTATGTCATTTAAGGGGAGATCCATGAGCCGACATTTCATCTGTTCCCTTTATGCGTAATATTATAACCCAAGTTTGGCATCTCCGTCACGATCCTGCTGGAGTGACGCATATTTATCCTTTGGCAGGATACAGTAGGTTTGCAAAGCTGTCACAGTGGTGATGGGAATGGCTTATGAGTCACTGGGTAAGCAATATATGTCGAACATGCACCGCACTATGGTCTCTACTAGCTAGAAGCAGTTGTCCCGACACCTTTTTAGCTGAATGTTTTAGTGTAGTCAACTTTATATGTAGTTTACTTTGCTCTATATGGAGAATACCCTTGATTTAACCTGAAACCTTACAAACTTGACTTGATGCTGCTCTCTACCTATATTCTTAGATGCCTACTAACCAATCTCGAAACCCAAGCAATATGATGAAATATGATTTGTGCAGGACTAGAATCTATCATGAAGAGAATAATTGATCATCACCAAGCATTGTTTTTAAAGCTGCGGTAGAGCCCACTTAGATATCTCACAGATATTCAATGTTTTTCTCATGCTTGCTTAATACTTTCATTACAGAATGCACTTTGGACAATGGAAGCTCAAGTAATTCACTCTGTTATAAACTCCATGATAACTAGTTAACCTGTCATATGGACACTGGATGCGGAAAGAGTCATAGATGCTGATGATCCCTACTAAGACATGATACTTGAAGCATCCTCGAAACACCCAATGTCTTACAGGTGACCGACCTTACAAATTTTCAGCTGGAATTGCAGGTGGTGGG